AAAATCACTCTTCTTATAGATGGTCATTTTCGTAAAGAATTTTTAGCTATGATTGATAGCGGTGCTGATTTGAATGTCATACAAGAGGGACTTATTCCCAGTAGGTTTTTTGAAAAAACTTCTTGCTCCCTTTCTCATGCAGGAGGTGGTGCTCTTGATATCAAGTTTAAACTTTCYAATGCAAAAATTTGCAATCAAGGTTGTTGCGTTACAACCAGCTTTCTTTTAACTAAGGCTATTTCCCATGAAATTATTTTGGGTCTTCCCTTTATCTACCAACTCTATCCCATAACTCAAATTGATGAGCATGGTCTTACAGGCACTTTCAATCAAAAAGCCATTACTTTCAAATTTATTGACCCTCCTGTTAAGAGATTTCTTGACATACTTCAAGATCGTATTGATAGAAAAACCTTTCATCTCTATTCTCTTAAAGAAGAAATTTCCTCCCTAACCATAGACGAAAAGCTTTCTAACCCTCGTCTAAAATCAAAGATTGATTTCATCCATAATGACTTCTCTCTTAGCATTTGCAATGACCATCCCAATGCTTTTTGGGATAGAAAGAAACACATCGTTTCTCTTCCTTATGAAGATGGTTTCTCTGAGATCAATATTCCTACCAAGGCTAGGCCTTGTCAGATGAATTCTGACTACCTTGTCCTTTGCAAAGCCGAAGTCGGCAGCCTTCTTGAGAAAGGCCTTATAAGACCTTCGCAATCCCCCTGGTCTTGTACTGCTTTTTATGTTAATAAACATTCAGAACAGGAAAGAGGCATTCCTCGTCTCGTTATTAACTATAAGCCCCTTAACAAGGTTTTAAAATGGATTAGACACCCTATTCCAAACAAGAAGGATCTTCTTGATCGTCTTTTTCTTTTCCAAGCCCTTATCTTTTCAAAATTTGATTTAAAATCTGGYTATTGGCAGATTCAAATAGCAGAAAAAGATATTTATAAAACGGCTTTTAATGTTCCAATGGGACATTATGAATGGAAGGTTATGCCCTTCGGTCTTAAAAATGCTCCCTCTGAATTTCAACAGATTATGAATGACATCTTTTATCCCTACAGTAATTTTATTATTGTTTACATTGATGACATTCTGGTTTTCTCTAAAGACATTGAGAGTCATTTTAAGCATCTTAATATTTTCAAGACTCTTGTTATTCAGAATGGCTTAGTCATATCTAAACCTAAAATGTCTTTATTTCAAACTAAGATTAGATTTCTTGGTCATGATATTGAAAAAGGAACAATTATTCCTATTCAACGCAGTATAGCTTTTGGTGATAAATTTCCTGATCAAATTCTTGACAAAACTCAATTGCAACGATTTCTAGGAAGCTTGAATTATATTTCTGCTTACATTCAAGATTTAAGTCATTACACTTCTCTTCTTTATGATAGACTTAAGAAAAAATCTTGTTCTTGGACTGATAGTCATACTTTAGCAGTRCAAGAAATTAAGAAAAAGGTTAAAAACCTTCCCTGTCTTATGCTTCCAAATCCCCTTTGGCACAAAATTGTTGAAACTGATGCCTCTAACATAGGATATGGAGGAATTCTTAAACAGATTGATCCCATTTCCAAACATGAATTTCTTATTCGTTTTTATTCTGGAAAATGGAAAAATGCCCAGCTTAACTACTCTRCTGTAGTTAAAGAACACTTTGCTATTGTTAAGTGTGTTCTTAAATTTCAAGACGATTTATATAATCAAAAGTTTTTAATAAAAACTGATTGTAGCTCTGCTCAATTTATGTTTAAAAAAGATTTTAAGCATGATGTTTCTAAGCAGATGTTTGCCAGATGGCAAGCCCATCTTGCTCCTTTTGATTTTAATATACAGCATATTAAAGGTAAAGATAATCATTTGCCTGATTTCTTRACTCGTGAATATCTTTCTTAAATGTTTAGGTATCGTGGAGATCATCCAAATGAACGTCGCATGAGCTCTTTCAGCTCTTACTCCTCTTATAGAGGAGCTAGCAGCTCTTCCCATGGAAGAGGACGTGGTGGCAGACATCCCTCTAATAGAGGAAGAGGTCCTAATGTTATTGCCCAGATGGGTAAACAAAAGCTTATCGCTTCAGACTTATCACATGATAAGGATCAAGATACTCCTGGATTCTTGTATGATATTCCAGAAGACCATCCATTAGCCAAGGCATACCTTGACTATTCTAAGGAAAAGAATAAATTTTATATCATTAAACAAAAAATAAATTATTTTATTATTAAACTTAAATTAAATTATAATAAAAAAATTAAATAAAAATGAAAATTTTTAAATAGTTGATTTGATATTAACATTGATATATTTTTTTTTCAA